CTTAATTCTGTATTTGACATGTCTATGAAGCAAACAAAGTCCTCAACACCCCTAGAACATGCCATGCCATTACTATTTTAATTTTTTGCATAGAACTTATCAGAACAGAATTTAAAAAGTACCCCCTGGACACAAGCACCCACTTAATGTCTTCCTCATTTTTCAGTTTGGTATGTGTTCTGTTCACAATGTTTTTAAGTAAGCACTTCCTCATAGTTTCAGTCAGAACACAACAGGGGTTTAAACTTGTGGAACCAGCATAACATTACAGATTGTATCTTTGTTACCAATTATTTTCACACATGGAGAGTTAATACAGAACTGTAGTAGTCTGATGGGACTGAAAATGTTGCAAGTCATTGTAGCAAAGCCACCAGAGGGCAAAGAACCACAATAACAATGCAGATTTAAGAGAGGGCAAATGAACATTGAAATTTAATGTGGGAGTTTTGTGATATACATTGAATCAATTTCATGCAGAATGTGTACTACATGTTGATGACCAACCACAACACAATCCAACAAGGCCTCTTCAGCGACAGAGACACTAAAAATATGTCTCCTGATCCATATAAGCAGGGTCAAAGTTGGGCTTAATCAAACAGAAAGGTTTGCACCAAATGTCATCCTTCAAATAAACAAAACAATGAATATCTCAAATTTCTTAAGATCTGCAGTATTAATTACAGCTCTATGCTGCATGGTCTGGCAAGTCTGTAATGTTGAAAGATGCTTTCACTTCCCTCATGCGTAGTGACACGATAGAACATCATTTCAATAAAACTGATGAATGTAATAAGTGTATGCACATGGAAACAAGCAGGTCACTTTTTCTAGGCAGGGTAACCCCCTCTTACTTATGCTGTGTCATAATTATGGTATAAAATACACAGCATCACATACACTAAATAGTAAATTGTGCATATTCTTTTGATTGCTGAACAGAAAGGGACACCAGTCTGGAGAAAGCACGAGGACAGGGCTATTTTGTGTTGTGACCATTTCATAGAGTTTAGTTTAGTTTAGTTGTACTGTAGGTGTATGACTGGTAACACTTGGCCAGTTAAAGCATGACACTGCTCCATACTATGTAAATACACACCAATACAAAACGTGCCTGAGAAATCAGCCTGTTAGTGTCTTCTGTATTATTAATTGCATGTCCGTTTACAGGCTTAACTTTGGTTGCTTGCACAAATAAAAGTTAGGAATACTTTACTGTTTTAAAGTGACAGGTGATTAGTTATATCAGACAATTCCACCATCCTTTTGGCAGAATTACAACAAATGTGCAGTGAAAACTAAACTAAAGCTAAAATAAGCAGCCAGTGTTAAGGTAAAGATGTCAAAGTTTAATAGTTAAAATGTCCTAAAATGTACTGTTTGGTAAGCAATTAAATAAATAAATACCATTCCCAGTACACAGCTAGATCTTTTTTGTGTGCAAATTTAAAAGCTAATAGACCTTTTTGTTTTTTTAATCTTTTAATATTAACTGTCCTTTGTGAGTTATAGCAGTAAAAAAAAAAAAACACAGGTCAGCCATGAAAAGCCCCGTCCTGAGGTGGATGTAGCTGACGCTGTGGTAGTTTTGATCCTGTCACTGCACCGTTCTTTTGAAACGGTCTCTCTGCACAGCGCGGGTCCTCCTCTGTCTATCTGCAATGGAGGAGCCGAGGCTCTGTTTGAGGGCTGGGAGGACCACCCCAGACTGAGAGGGTCCAGACCTGGAAAAGGAAACATATGTAGAGGTAACAGAGAGGGCCAATGTGGCTTTCTGACATCAGTAAATGCAGTAAAAAGCAATCTGTTGCATAGAGGAAGAGAGAGACACGGATTTACATACATTTTTTCCGGAAATGTTTGGAGACCAAGTTTTGGAAATTTCTTTTCTTCTGAAGATTTGCTGAGAAGTACAAAACAGAGACCTTTACCACAAGTGTGCTAATTTCTTTAGATGATAAAAATGGTAATATTCTTAATCTCTTTACCGGGTACCATCAACAAGGTAGGCCTTGGTCAGAATGTGGTTCTCTGGGGTAATTTTCTTGCTCAAAACAATGTCTCTCAGCAAAGCCTTCACACGTATAATCTAAAAGACAGAGTTATAATGAAGATATTTCCACAGAAACATTTAAAAAAGATAATAAAAAACACTAAATACTGCATTTTTGAATTCCAAAACATCATCTGATGATGGGCACTTACTTCCTGAGACTGTAAACTGTTAGCATTGTAGAGCTGCCGAATGATGACCTCACACTCCTGTAGTGTGGGAGCGCGCGGGGGATGGGAGGGGCTGCTGTGAATTCGCAGAGGCTGTAACGAGGTGATGAGGCCCCCCTTCACTTCTGGACCGGGGTCCTGCCTGGCAGATCTGAGAGTTTCGCCGCTCTCTCCGATGCTTCTCCCCAAGTAGTCAGTGCGATGATGCGAATTAAAAGTGACACAGAAACTGTTAAAGGCAGTTGTAGCTGTAAATGCCTCGTTTCTACACCTAAGTTAAATCAGTAGTCTTTGCATTAGCGCAGACTACAAACCGTGGGCACGATTTTATTTAAACAAATATGACTTTGTGAGCTGGGAACACCTGAATAAGCGCTCAAATAACAATGTACTGTATCTTTTTTATAAAATAACACATGGTATGGGCCCTTCCATATGCCCCTTTAGTTGTAGACACCCATACCACCATCAGAGGACTGAAAGAATTAAACATACTATAATTCACTTCAGGCATTTAAAACAGTGAGGAAAACCACCTGCCGTCTGCTGCTGACACTAAAACCAGTTGTGAACCCGGTTTTTGCTTCACACGCTGTAACTGTGGCACACCACAGCCTGTGGTAATCAATGTGTTGTTTCATATCTTCTTAGTGCGATTAATGCTGCTATTAATGTTATTCTAATGCTATGCTACCCTATATTATTCAGTGCTATATTGTAACGTCTAAAATGCACCAAATCAAGTACATGCTGTCAATATTTATAGAAACATTTCTTAACCAACATGCCATTTCTTATCATTGTTCTTCTCTGTCCTAGCTGCATCAAATTACCAACGAATGTCGCTACCTGTTTTGTCATCACAGCCATGTTACTAGTGAACATTTTGTGTGTGAATATCTTCGAAAAAAAACACAAATCATACATAAAATCCAATCACACTGCGTCAGTATTGAGGCTGACTCGGTAGGCAGGTGAAGTACTGAGTGAGAACCAGATGTAGTTGGACGGGTATTCACCTTAGTGCTTGGTCCTGTGAGGGTCGCGTGTCCTGCAGCTGCTCCTCCAGGTAGAGTCCCGTGTGGGCTTCACTTCCCTGAGTAGGTGGTCTAACGCCTCGTCGACTGTGTGTCATTCCTAGAAGATGGGGGAGCCGAGACGAAGTTTTTTGGCAGACTGAGTTTCACCTTATTGTCCTACATGAGATATTAACAACGAGAACATCGCCTTCACTCCGGGGATGCCTTTGAACCACAGAAGGTTTGTATAATATAATAACGCACACTGTGAGATAACACATGTTCGTCACAGGAAGCATCCCTTTAATAACTTGAATATATGTTTCTCAGTATATATCGATATCACAGTGTACACCCACTGCTTTCAACCATCCCAATCCTGCAAGAACATCAGCTGCGCACAGCAGGGCCAAACAAAAACAGCAGCACATCAGGATTACGTCTTACCTTTTCTACTCGACTTGGGAGGCTCCATTATCAGCTTATACTGCAACTCTGCAACATCCATATTATGACAAGTTTAGTGTGTGTTGGGGAGGCACATAAGAGGCACAATCTTGTAACACAGTCCCGGCAAAGCGACCCATGCGTCCATGGGGGCCTGACGGCTGTGATGGCGCGAGGACAGATGACTGGGGAGACTCCGGATGGGTGGTGAGATGCAGTTATATGGAACGGCATGTGGCCTGTTCAGTAAAGTGACACCGGATCTCTGTCCACCTCCCACTGAGAGACCATCAAACCCCCACAGTTGCTATGCGACCACCATACCTAGATTGAATGTCTCTCTTTTTTTTCAGCGCCTTCTGAGGAGACAGCCAGGTCTTTGTCATAAACTTATACATTTATTATATAATAAGAAGAAACCTGAACAAGTTTCTGAGTTCACACCTTGTAAAAAGGAAGTTAATTCTTGGGATTACTCAGTTGTCCTGGTGAAGTAGCCAATTCCTTGATGATAATAATTAAGTCTCTCTTATTTCATTGTTTTTTTTTCTTTTCTTCTCTTCTGTAAAGCACTTTATAACTACAGTTTTGAAAAGGGCTATACAATTATCATCACTCCTTTGATATCAGCTATGCATTGTGTGGCTCACCTACTGGTCTCTAACTGAGATGTCAACAACATATGAATCATTTATGATTATTCCAAATTATTAGGTTACATATTCCGCCTACAGCCAGGGTTAAAGTATTCATCACTGGACACAATCATTAAGGACATTTCCCCACTTTCCACTCGTTTCTTCACCTTTATTCTCCCGTCTGAGATACTCTATCTCTGCGTGGAGCTTCTCCAGAGTTTCCTTGTGTTGCTGCTGAAGGAACTGGATATTCTTCTGCATTGAGGCGACGCGGGGGTCCATGTCGCTGGGACAGGACCCCTGTGCTGCTCTCCCTGCTCCCCTGTCCGCTGACGGGACAACGGGCAGCGGCTGCAGCTGGTTCGCCGGTAAAAGCCGCGGAGAGCGAGGCTTCCCGAGGCGCCCAACTCGGGTCCACTGTGGCAAATGCCTCACCGGCGGAAGGTTATAACTTGACATGGCTTTGGTTCATCAAGCTAACGAACCATTTTAGCCGTGTTTGCTAGTGAGGCGGCGACGGCTTGTTTCCACACGAAGTTGACCGGCGACAAAGTAGCACCATTCGCTAACTAACTGTGTTTTCTTCTACCATTATATTATTACAACTAGCAAGTTGGCTTAAGTGTGTTGCTTGTTAACAGCTCAAGTACCTGAATTACTTTTGCACTCATTTGACATGCGCCCCACTCATACACAACGTTGCCCTGACAACTAACAGTCTATGGTACTGTCGTTGCCCTCAGTTCAAGCTCTCAGGCAAGCTGCGCAGGGTCCCGCCCCCTTGGCTAGGATTGGCAGTGGTATTGGTTGAGCTTTTAAACAGAACCATTTGATTGGTGGAGCTTGTTAGGGGCGGCACCCAGGCTTGGAAACGCTGCCTGACAGGCTAACCTCTAGGGCTAGTCAATATGATTCTTGGAGTGTGTGGTTTAATTATTTGTTTCACCATTTTAAATAATGTATATTTTTTACAGCTGAAAAAAATAAAATATATAAATTAAAGCAACTTACTCACAAAAGAGCAAGGAGGGTACATTACAGGAGCCCACATAAAATACCCACTTACTTTACTGTATAATGTGCCTATTAAAGATGGAAGAGAAATAATAGAAACCAGTGACATTTAAAAACAAAAATCTAAAACAAAACAGTACGTTTTAGAGAACGACCAGCCGTAATGTTAAGTAGATGTGACTTGTCTAAACACTGGTATGTTCCTTTAAATAGACCTAATTTAAAGTCCCTAATATCCAGTATAATTGGTCTTAGGCAGGTTTAATAGGTCAGCACAGACAGTAGCTCTAGCTGCCCGTCAAGCTCCCTTGTACAGTAGGTCAGGATCAGGTGTATAGGATCATATGTAGCATATGTCATGGTTCTGACGGCACTAAGGATTTCTAAAGGAGCGTCTGTTCAAGCAAGACTTTAAACTCCATAACCGAGGTGACATGACCGCAGAGGAAACTCACGTCATCTTCAGACAAATTACCTTTCCTTTCACTTTATTCATGTTGCAAGGTTACATCACACACAGGGACACTGAGATAGTGTGTTTGTCATAGATATGACAACATTAAAATGATTTTGCAACAGTAAGAGACAATATGGAAGATCAGCAGAAGGCCTATTCTTTGGAAATGTATAGGTGGTATGGTACTGTTCTCTCCATGCCTGCAGCATCATATACACAATAACGACAATAACTTAATTTACAATATTTACAGGTAATACAGAATTAGTAAAGTGAAAACACAAAATGAAAACATTCAGGTATGTTCTTATCAAACATACAAAAAGAATAATCCAAATAATTGACAGCTCTATTATGGGAGTGCACATAGCAGAATCTTCATGAAGGTTATACTTCATTTTATCTTTATGTGATACTTTGAACAGTAGCTGGTAGAGTCTACGTGCCCCTTTGTCAGGCCCCATCTCCACACTTCCTGCGCCAACCTTCTGTACTCTACTATTATACTCTTTTTTTATTTCAACTGCTGCTCAAATTATTTTTATGGCGATTTTGACTCCTACGCAAGATAATCATCGTTAGGCTGGCCGATGGCAATGATTGTAGGGAACAATAAAAAGTGACACATGCATCGGTATTATAAAGGTATAAGAGGCCAACAGAGCAGCATGTGTAAGAGACAGAGAGCCCGTGGATGAGTCGATATTAGGAATGTACGCTCAACATTTGAAACACGCAAACATTTCAGAAGTTCGCTGACGAAATACAGAAGGCCACAAAGCAAATACACATAATGTATATTTAGAGAAATCGTCACTGAGTAAAAACCCTTTCCTCTGTTCTGTTCTGCTGACAGTGCTACTATATTGGCTTGGTAATCTCAGCGTAAACCATCTTCGGCCCTCACCATACACCAACACCTTACTCTAAAATATGCACTTCATTACCATCTTAACTTAAAAAGGCAGAGGAAAATAAACCTCAGGGAAAAGAAAGTAACACTAGGGCCTGGCATTGGGTTACACCGGAGGATCCATCTCTTTTCAGGAGATATTTTAGTTTCACATGTTAAAGTGGGATCTTACCCAGAGTCAACTACATCCACGCAAGTCAACTGGAGTCAAAATCAAATCATTATAATCATTCATACATCTTTTACAGAACAATGTCTTTAGTTCTGTAAGGAGCAAATCCCACTGTCTATTAATACATCACACCTCACTTCACACACACGTGTGTGCGTGCACACAAACATCTCTCTCTGAAAGCAACCAAAGCAGAAGTCGACCCTTCCCATTGGCCCACAATTTGGGGGAGTAAAGGTATCCTGTGAGGTCAATATCAACAATACAAATATAGTTCAGGTAAAATACAAACGTTCATCTAGCACGCCAAATCAGCAGAACACTTTTCAAAATTAAACACACACTGACTACTCTGAAAGAGAACACGACACAATCAATGCAAATCCTTTTTTCAGTGTAAAGCGATTTTTCTTGTCCTTTTTCTTCTTAAAGAAATCTTTCTAAGGTTTCATAGCTTATACCATCTCTGAGTCAACATTCTCACATCGAACACCTTATGACAGTAACTACAATACAACTAAAACTGCAATAAAAGTCTAGTAAACCTAAATAAGCAAATCTGTGTAGGTATCAACAAAAACAGAACATGTTTAGCATGTTCCACTCAAGATCGTTCTCTACAGTACTTCAACAGTGCAAAAACATTCAGACAACTCTAAAATTTAACACTTGGCTAATATTACCGCTCTTTCTCTCCTGTCAGCCCTACATTCAAATCTGATTATACTTGCTTAACTTCGACGTGATTGATTGATAACATACAAACAGAGTATGGAATCGTGTGAAGAAATTACCAGCAACAGCAGCATCTAAGCTTCTGTACACCTGAGGAATGCAACCCAGGTTATTGCAGCATCTGTAACGTGATTGCGATCAGGGATGCCAAAAGACCACTTTCAGTCCCTCTTGAATTAAAAGCTATATTTTGCATGTAGCAGTGGGGTAGTGAGTGTTTTCTGGACCCATTATCTGCCTTTACTACCTGCCACCATTTAACAAAACAAAATTACATCATTGTTATAGGACGTGGTCTTTGACATTAAGCTAGTATAGAATCAGTAAAGTGCCCAAACCAGCACAGTTACCTACAGCGAATCTAAGATAACACCCAACACAAAAATGAAACCACATTTTTTTAAAGTCATTTTGGCAACAGTTTTGTAATAGTGCTCGTATGCACTGATAAAATCAGAAAAAGTAAACCCAGGGAAGCAAACAAACGGTGTATGACAAACATACATTTGATGAGAATGATACTCGGCCATTCTCTGTCTTGTAGGTGTACAGCAGACTCTGTACACTCCCTCCAGTTACTGGTACTTGGTAAAAAAGAACAATTTGTCTATAGAGTCGCCTATAGCAAATTTGTAGCATGAATAATTGCCCAACAAAAAGCTATCTGTTTATGTTTAGATAAGTACTGTATGTGGGTATGTGACTACTTGGCAATAATTGTTCCTGCATGTGTTACGCCTAGTGAAGGTAAGCTTCTTCTTGGCAAAACATATCCTATTCAGTGCCAGGATCAAAGTCCTCTCACATGGACGAGAGCGTAGACATTCTTTCACAGCTCAAGTGCTTCGTGTCCAACACTGGTTCGAGTTTAGTGTTGGGGAAGTCGCTGCCACTGTCCAAAACTTGAGCCGAATGGCAAGTCATTTAGAGAAGAGCACAAATCCTTGAGGTTCACTGAAGTCTTGTGGTTGTCTTGTGAAAACTAAACCATGTCTAAGTGAGAACCATGAGACGTGGGTGCAGATTTTGGTTTGTAATGGTAATGTGCAGGGTGCAGATGACTGACATCATATCCCCACTCCAAGAGGCAGCGTAGGACTCAAACACAGAGGCCTGACTGCAAAGCTGTGAGGCGACGTTCAATGCACTCCTTACCTGCAGACACAAAAAGAAAGGGTGAAGGAAACAAGTCAGTGGAATTGCAAGTCATTTCCATGCTGTGTTAGCATGGGTAGCCTCCAGGCGTTATGTTACGGTTTCAAATCCAAAGACATGCAGGTTAGTTCTGTTTTGTCAATGTGCGTTACGGTGAAATATTGTACACATTTACGTAACAAAACAGTTTTCAAGATGATTTTTTGCTGGAGCTGGCAGACATACATACATTTGCTAACACTGAGGATGTCATCCTGTTCAGTGAGCAGCAGAGACAGGCCCTCCATCAGCAGGAGAGCTTTATGGTAGCGCAGGGCCGATGCTTCACCTTGGTGGAACATCTCGTCCAGCGCAGCAGCCTGAACCTGAGATGACACCAGGATGCTGAAGTTAATACATTAGTATTGATTTAAAAAAAATAAAAATGTTGCTGGGGCATGTAATAAGCCTCAGTAACGCTGTTACTGTTGCTCTATGTATTACTCTTTCCTGAGTGAATATACAAATACATTTAGCTGTCTATATATAGCACTTTAAACACTATCCAAGTACTTTAGTTTCTTTACAATATCCAGTGATCATAAAGCAATAGTTTGGGAGAAAATGCTTGGAGCTTGCTAGAGAGAAATAAAGAGGGTAGGAGGGATATTTTTGCCATATAAACTTCACTAATTATTCACTGGACACAGTATCTGAATGATTACGCTGTGGCCTGCTGGTCAGTAACCCTCGTCTCCTTCTCTGCTTCCCAGCTGTCTCACTTTTCCTCTGGCTTACCATCTGCACAGTGTGGCTGAACAGCAGCCGTTCAGCTGTGATGGAGGTGATTTGGTCCATTAGACGGTGCTTCCTGGAAAAGAAGTGCTCCAGACGGGTGCTGAGTGAGCGGCAGGATGCCACACTGGACTTGTACAGCTCATTCAGCCTCCTCACTACTGTATATGGACAAGAAAATGCATTCTGTTACAATCAAAACTTCTGCTTTAAGATGTACTGTATATTAGACACCTTAACAAGACCCTTCCAAAATGAAATGGTTCATACCTTGTTTGACTGTAGCAGAGGGGTAGAGTTTTCCCTGTTTAACTCGCTCCATGGCTGTGTGTAAGGCAGTTGACAAGAGTTCTGCAGTCTTAAGGTAGAGAACCAGCTGTTCTGCATGACTGAGGAGAGGAACACACACACACACACACACACACAGTCCTTAAAACTCAATTATGAATCCACAAAT